ACAAGCAAATCTGAACCCGATTCTGTACAAGGAGAATCCCATGAGCTACTCACCAGCCCCAGAGGCCCAGGCATTTCCTGATACACAGATGAGCTGCACTGAGGTAAAGGACAGGACTTCTCAGAGGCACAGAGCTTGGGCCAGAGACCACACACAGGCTTGCCTGACTCAGAGCCCCATACCCTCCTCATCTGTACCCCTCTACTTCTTATGTTTACAATCTACTACAGGGTCCAAAGTTCTTCTCTTTCAACTATCAAAATGCCAGCACGGGCAGAAAGCGAGGCCTTATTAAGAGGAGCACCAGCAGCTGGGGATGTGACAAAATCCCTATAGCTGCAACACGAGGGGTGGGTAGCCTCCATCACAGACAGAGAAGGAGGGCTACCTCTCTCTGATGCAAAGGAAGTCACGTTTGGGGTAAGAGCCCATTCAGTGGGCAGTGAGGAATGCAGCCTACTGAAAAGGATGTGGCTTAGGGAAAGGCACGGGCAGGAAGCCGTGCTGCTAGACAGAGGAACGGTATGTGAAGGGAACGGGCGAGGAAAGACAGAGAGGACATGTGAGGGACCAGGAGGGAGAAGCCTGAAGGACCATGAATGCTACACTGCGGTGGAGGGGTAGGGTGACAGGTGGCCCTGCAGTGCATCAGGACCAGAACAATGCCATCTCACAGGGACATGGGGAGAAGAAGAAGGGAGGTGAGACCCAGAAGGCTGAATCCATAGGGTTCAGGAAGCTGTCTCAAATGAGTAAGTCAGTCTGACTTCCTAGAAGGCTGGAAGGACAAACTATCACACTGTCCCTCAGTATCCATAGGAATTGGTGCCAGGATCCCCTCCCACAGAAACTAAACTCTGCAGGTGAGTAAGGCCATGGCATGAAATGTCACGGCATTTGTATATAACCTACTCACATTTTTTTGGCATGCTTTCCCTTTCAATTGCTTGTAATCCCTAAGACAAATAAGTCAGTGCTACAAACAGCTGCTATACCCTATTGCTTAGGGAATAATGAGAAAGAAAAAAAAATGAGTACATGTTCAATACTGATGCAATTATCCTAGGCCTACAGAGCACATGCCAGCAACGACGTACTGTTCAAATCTTTTCAATCCACAGCTGGCTGACACGGAGGATGTAGAACCCAAGGATGTGGAATCCAAGGGTGCAAAGGACCAACTGTAATCAAGGGTGGAGGGAAAGGAGGGAAGAGGAGAGAGCAAACCCCTGCTCCTCCAGTTCCCTGCCCCCCCAATAGTTATCCCTTAGAAACTAGAATCTGCATCAATCTGAAGCAAAAAGGAATCTCTCCCTCACTCTCCTGCCCCAAACAAAACCACCTGGCCATTCTCCAGTTTTTGTTCTGTCTTGCTTTTCTAGGAGAGACTAAGAGAGTACAGACCTGAAAATGCAAATGAGCCCTGGCTGTGAGTGAGTAGGGGTCAAAGGTCAAACTAGGACATAAGAACTTCCTTGTTAGAAAGCAGGGTGGTGGCTTTTGCCTTGAAAAGAGGGGTGAAAAGAACTTAAAAGGAGAATGAGTAGGCAAGCTCAGAAGCCAGCACACCCCCACCATGAGAACCCAGGACCCCATTACAGCCTGAGCTCTCCCTATAGTCACAGTGGCTTTGGGGCCTACTGTGAGCAGTGAAGAGGGACTTGCTGTGGCTGGCTAGATTTGCCATCCCGGGAGCTTCCAGCCACAAGTAAGCCCAGGGGAGTTCTGGGTTCTGGCCCTGGCAGTGCCTTAAGCTCCTGAGCTAGTTCATTCCCTCACTTGTGGGTCCAAGACAGCCGCTCAACTAGACAGCTGACTGGACTCCAGAGAGGCCGCAGGAGCCACCAGCTGAGGTTACAAACCACACTTAAAACATTTTTTTTGAGGCAGGATCTCATGATATAACTCTGGCTGCTCTTGAACTTTGTGTGTAGGCCTCACTTGAGATCCTCTTGCCTTAGCCTCTAGAGTGCTGGGATTACAAGTCTGCACCACCCTATCCCCCAGAGACCACGCTTTGAACAGAGTATTTCAAACACTAAACTTGAGGTTCAGATGCCTCTCCTGGAATTGGAAAGATATCTCCAGGGATGATTCGAGGATTCAATAGATGTAACAACCTACTGAGCTGATGTCAGGCCACCTTCCAGCCTATGTTGGGTCCTCTGAAGCTCCAGATCCAGCAAATTTGCCTTTCCTAATGAGGGAGGACCACAGACAAGGTTTCTTATCACTGCCCTTTCTAAGTTCTTAGCTGCAAACATTTCCAAACACTGTATCCCATTAATTAAGGGTAAAGACAAAACTAGTTCTTTGTCCCCAAAGGAGTCTAAGTGCAAGAGCTCAAAGTTCTCCCTGGCCCAACCCCTGGAGAGAAAAGGGATGGGCGGAGGCTGGAAGGAATTCTGACCCCAAGAAAGGGCCACAGGAGCAGGACACAGGAAGCTGCAGAGATTCTGAGGACCCCACCCCCACTCAGAGCTCCATTCCATATCCCAGCCTGCAGTCCTCCTACACAGAGGCTCTGCAGTGAAAGGTGACCCATTACTGCCCCCAGGAGTCAGTGTCTCTAGCTCGGGAACCCTGGCTAGGGCCAGGAGCCACCTAAAACCAACTGTGGATGAGCCAATTTGACCTTTGTCCTGAGCCCACCATTACCAGCCGGGGTCCGGGACTTCCCCACTAGGGTGGTGTTCACAAGCAATGTGTGGCACAATCAAAGGAATGGCTTCTCACTCAAACACACTCAAAGACAGGCCTGGGCCTATTTCTAGCACTTCTGTGTGAGTTTAACCCTGAGAACACCCTGCGCCTCCCTTAGTAATGAACAGCTGACCCCAGTTTCAAACACTTATTTCCTTTTCCAATTACCAGTCCTCCTCCCAAGATAAAATAGACTTTTGTTTTTAAGAGTGATGTCCCTGAGCTTGTTTATTGCAGTTGCATTCAGCTATTAGCCTAACAGATAACTAAAGGAAGCCTGAAGTTTTGGCAAAGAAAAACCAAGATGACTTTGGTGTCCCCTAGTGAACGCAGTAACTGAAGACTACATCTTAAGGGGATTTTCTAAAAAATGTATGTTTTATTATTTATTCATTTTTAATTTTTTATGGAATTTTTGTGTATTTCATACAGAAAATTATCTTTATACCCCCTTCCCCTTTGGTGCCCTACCATAGCCTCCACCCTCAGAGTTCATTCATTCTGTTATTTGTGTTAAAGCCTATCACATAAAGTTTTAACTGAGCACAGGAAAAGATTTCTCACAAGTACACACAAGAAACTCATCTTAAATGAACTGATAAACAGATGAGGTTGGAGATCGATGAGCAATGTTCTGACCTCAAAGGGAATTAAAGGCAGGATAAAGAAGTGAGAATATATATAATTATTATTAAAAAATAAAAAATTTAAATAGTGGAGGAAATCTCTGTAAGAAAATGTGTCGGGGGCCAGCGAGATGGCTTAGGAGGTAAAAGGCACTTGCTACCAAGCCCAAGAACCTAAGTTCAATCCTTGGGACCCACATGGCAGAAAGGGAGAAATGACTCCTCCAAGTTATCCTCTTACCTCCACACATACCCCCTGGAGCCTGTGCACACCCACATATACATATCTACACACACATACACACAAATAAATAAATGTAGTATTTTTTAAAAGAAAATGTGTCAAAATTCCCAGAACAGTAAGAACACTTATTTGCCTTCTTTTCCATATATTATATAAGATATTAAAGGCGTTTACAGGGCTGGGGGTGTAGTTCAGTAGAACTTGCTGAGCATGCCTGAGGCCCTGAGTTTGATCAGCAGCACTCTCACCAAAGTTGTTAATAGTTAATCATGTGTAATTTTTATTTAACAGTTTATTTATTGTGGTGCTACAGATGGACCCTGGCGTCTTGTGCATGCTAGGCAAGTGCTTTATCGCTGAGTTACATTCCCAGCTATTTTTTTTAAGAATTATTTTTTATATTTTTAAATTATGTGTATTTGTGTCTAAGCTTGTGCAGTGCCTGAAGAAGCCAGAAAAGGGCACTGAATTCCCCAGAGCTAGAGTTACAGGTAGATGTGGGTGTTGGGGAACAGAACTCAGATCCTCTATAAAAGCAATGTGCTCTTGACCAGTGAGCCATCTCTCCATGCTTTTTTTTTTTGGTCTTTTTGAGACAGGGTCTCTCTGTAGCCCCAGCTGTCCTGGAACTCACTATGTAGACCAGGCTGGCCTTGAGCTCACAGAGATCTGCCTGCCTCTGCCTCCTCAGTGCGGGGATTAAAGGCTTGCGTCACCATGCCTGGCCCAGTCTGCTTTTTTTTTTTTATAAAAGACAGGGTCTTGCTAGATAGACCAAATGGACCTCCAATTCATGGCTCCAGTCCTCCTGGCTCAGCTGGGATTACAGGTGTGTGCCACCATACACAATTCAACATATATAATATTTCCTTATTTCTATTTTTGTTTTTTTGGGGGTTTGGTGGTTTTTTTTTTTTTTTTTTTCCTTTGGTCCTTTTGAGACAGGGTCGCCCTGAAGCCTCAGCTGGCCTAGAACTCAGTATGTAGACCAGACTGGCCTCAGTCTCATAGAGATCCACCTGCCTATGTGGGGATGAATGACATGTGCCACCACACCTGGCTACACGTATATTTTAAAATATATTTTCTTTATCATATGGAAGGACTAAAAAACCCAGCCTCTTTTTAATTAAAAATGTATAGTACACAAAATAATGGATTTCATTATGATTTTTTTTGTTGAGGTTAGGTCTCCTATAGCTCAGGCTGGCCTTGAACTCCTTAAGCAGCTGATAATGACCTTGAACTCCTGAAACTCCTGCCTCTACCTCCCCAGTACTAGGATTACAAGTCTACACCACCACATCCAGCTTTCATTATGATATTTTTACACATGTAAAAATCTGTATATTCTTTTCAGAGAACAACAAAAGTATTCCTTACCTGCTTGGAAGGAAGACTTAAGGGCAAAAAGAAACATCTCTCACCTGAGGTTTAACTTTCTCTCTTCATCACTGCCAGCCTCCAACTATAGAGAAAGAAAGACAAAGTCACCCCACGACATCATTGTCAACCTTCACAGCAGGCTCTGGGCTCACCATCCCCATGTCAGGAAAAATAAAGACTTCAGGAAACTGGCTCCTTCCACACAGCCCTGCCCTCTCCTCGCCAACCTGATGTGCTGTCGCTGAGTCATGCCCACGGAGGAATTTCAGGTTTCCAAATGTTTATGGCCATTCTCACCACAGTCTAACGACAGACGCCTGTGAGCCAAGTATTTCCTACCCTGAAGTATTACCCAACACATTCTTTTAGTTCTCAGCTCAAAACTTGCTCTGGGCCTTATACCTAATGTTTGCTTTTAAGGGAAAAGGGGGCTACAGTTTAAGGAAATCTATTTCCCTTGTCAAGTTAGGCAAGAGCTGAGCCCAGGGAACATCATCTTAAAAATCCATTCCAAAGTTGGGCCACATACGTGTCATTCTAGCTATTAAGCAGGCTGAGGCAGGAGAACTGCTTGAGCCTGGTAGTTCAAGATCACCCGGAACAACATAGTATGGAAGTCTGTCTTAAAAAAGGCCATTCCAGGCCTTTGATCATGAAAGGTAGCCAAGCATTGAGCTGTTTGTGGGTCTCAAAAGCTCTTGCTGCTCCTCAAAGACTTAAATATTTAATAGGAAATGTTTTAGTCTGTTGGTGTTGGTTTATTTATATAAGTGAAAGAAAGGGATGTTTAATATTTCCTAAATGCTAAGGGCTAAGAGGCTGAACTCTATAATAAGCACCAATCACTACTTTTTCTTTCTGAAAGCACAAATGAAAAGAAAACATGTCCACTTAAACAAGGCTGCACCAGGGGCCTTTGTATGTTTTTTTATGTGTCCACTGAATGGAAGAGAACCCTGGAGCACTCTGATGGCCAGGAGAGACACAATGGTGACTGGAGACAGAAATGAGCCAGGGGTCAGGGCAACAGGGAATGGGTCTTATGGTAGGAAGGGACCTGAGCAGCACAGAAGAGACGCCAGGAAGTGACAATTTCTACCAAGAATTGGTATACCAGAGGGCTCTGGAGTCCCTGCATTAGGTGAAGATAATGTGTGTAGAATTCTGCAGATGTACATGTTCCTGAAGTGAAAAGGAGGAACTGGGGAAAGTGATACACACTGCAGGGCCCAAGGCTTCCCTCCTGCGAGGAAGCAGACACAACTGGCAACAATCCACAAATGGAAGTATTCTTTCCACAAGGCCAGTGGGCATTTCTGGAGGGCGCTACTGGCATCTAGTGGAAGACAGGTTGCTGTTAAACATCCACTATACAGAGAACAACTTTTATAACAGAGAAAGATCTGGCCCCAAGTGTCAGCAGCTGAGAAACCCTAGTCCACCCAAAATGTGTGGCGTCAGCCCAAGAAAATTAGGCACCTTGAACATTTGTCAAAAATAACAATGTTACCATAGACTCCTGGAAACCCTGGATGTATCTATCCTTGGTTCTTCCCATATTCTCATAGAAAGTCCAGATAAAGTCAACAGGAAAATGATAGGCATGAGATAATTAAAGACTGAGAAAGAAAAAAGAAAAAGAAAAGGAAAAAAAACCCCACCACCACCACCACCAAAATTGAGAGACAGTTACTTAAAGGCCAAGGGCTGTGATCCTCTCCATTTCCCACGCCTCAGAGCTAGCCTGGCTGTGTCAGGAAACCACTGTTTCACCCAAGTTGCATTTTGATGAGTGATGAGTGATTTGGAGGTACAGACTCTACCACCGTTTAATTCCTGGTCACCCTCTGAGGTTCTCCAATGAAAGGCGATATAAGTTCGGGGACGCCAAAGAAGCTAAAGACAGCAAAGACTGTCCTTAAGAAGTAATCCAGGCCTCTGAGATGAGCTGATGCAGACAGGCAAAGCCAACTGGAGCAAGGACAGGCTAGAGGCACAGCAAAGCTGGACCCAGGCCTCCCAACTCAAGCACACCTGCTCTCACTGTTTTGCTTCTGATGTCAGACTATCTGGAAGCAGCCTTGCCTCCCCAACAGCATCCAGCCTCCGTTCCCTCGCTGGGTGACAAATGCTGTCGACATACTGAAGTCTCAGGTTTTTGGGTTGTGTTTTTTCTTTTCATGTTTATGTACGTGTGGTATGTGTGCTTGTAGGCATGCCTGTTCACATATGTATGGGTATACACATATATGCATGTGCATGTGGATATCCGACATTGATGTCAGGTGTCTTCCTCACTCATTCCTCACCTCATACCTTGAGGCAGGGTCTTCTCATTGAACCCATTCTCATGTCTGGCTAGCAAGCTTCTCCTAAGGATTCCCCGTCTCTGCCTCTCACATGCTGGGGTTTTAGATGTAAAAAGCAGGTGGGCTTTTATGTGGGTTCTGGAGATCTGAAGTCGGGTCCTCATACTTTTGGTAAGTGTTTTACCTGCTGAACCATCTTCCCAGTCCCTGGTTGAGTTTTATTCTGCTAATTGGTCACTAGCACTTGGTTGAGAAAACAACAAATAAAACTTTAAATAATAATTTAAATGTGGGCTGGAGAGATGGCTCAATGATTAAGAGCACTTCTTACTCATCCAGAGGACTCTAGTTCCAATCCTAACACCTATGTCTGGGGGCTTATAACTGCCTGTAACTCCAGCTTCAGAGGATCCAACATCCCCTTCTGGCCTTCTCGAACACTCACACCCATGTCACACACACACACACACACACACACACACACACACACACAAAGTCTTAAAAATATGTGTGGGGGCTGGCGAGATGGCTCAGCAGTTAAGAGCACGTAATGCTCTAGTAGAGGACCTGAGTTTGGTTCCCAGCACCCATATTGGGTCAACTCACAACCACCTGTAATTCCAGCTCTGGGATATATGCCCTTTTCTGGCCCATGTGGGACATACCTATACCCAGACATACATGCACACACATAATCTTTAAAATTTTTTAAATAAAAAACGAGGAAAATAGGGCTGGGAATGTAGCTCAATGCTTGGTATGCACAAGGCCCTGGGTTCAACACTTAGCATTAAAATAACAGGCTGGAGAGATGGCTCAGTGGTTAAGAGCACTGACCGCTCTTACAGCGGACCCCATTCAGTTCCCAGCACCCATGTGGCGGTTAACCATCTATAATTCCAGTTGCAGGGGATTGACACCCTCTTCTGACTGCTGAGAGCACTGCTCCACATGAGTGCACCTACCTATACGCAGGCAATACACACATACATACAAAAATAATAATAAAAGTTGGGTAAGGTGCCACATATCTTTAATCCTAGCACCCAGGAGGCAGGTGGATCTCTGTAAGTTCAAGGCCAGCCAGCCAGGACTATACAGTGAGACCTGTCTCAAAAAATAATGGTAAAATAATAAAAATGTTCGAATGAAATGTCCAGAAAAATTATGTCCACGAATATGAATTCTATAAATTCATTATTCACCCATAAAGAGGAATGAAATACTGACACATGACACATGATGGACATTTAAACCATTATGCTAAGAAAGCTAGACACAAAAGGCAATATTACTGTATGTTTCTATATGAAATATTCAGACTAGGCAAATACAGAGAAAGTGGACTAATGGTTGTCTGGAGCTGGGAAAAAAAGACACGGAAGTCTGCAGATGACGGCTGGTGAGGGCGGATGAAAAGCTTCTGGAGTTAGTGGTGATGGAGGCACAGTCTTGTGCTAAACTAAAATCTACTGACTCATACTTTACGATGGTAAATTCACGGGCTGGGGCTGTGAATTACATCTCAACTAAAACTTAAAAAATGTGTCTAAGACAGGAATAGATCAGGTGTCAAGTCACCCAAACAATATGGAAGTTAGTCAGAAATCTGGGCCGAGAGCCAGGTGCTGCGGCGTGTGCCTATAATGCCAGGTTCCAGGAGGCAGAGGCAGGACTGTCCCAAGTTTGAAGCCAGCTTGGTCTACATAGTGAGTACCAAACCAGCCAGAGATACAGAGTGGGACTCTGTCTCAAAAAAACAAAAACAAAAACAAACAAACAAAGAGAAAGAGAAAGAGAGAGAGAAAGAATAAAAGAAAGAAATCCAGGCTGGGAAGGTCTGCAGGCTCCTTCCTGAAGCCAAGCTCGTCCTTTGGCACCCACAGTTTTCCAGAGACCACCACCAGATAAGGTGCATGCAAGTACTTTGTAAACTGAACTGATGGAGGAGAACAGAGCTCTGTGAAAGGAGAGTCCCTCCTACAACCTTAACTTCTCAGTTGTTGCAACGGGCCACAAAGTTCCTGTGCCTCTAATCAGTGTGCACAGGGAAGAGTAGACCCTTTTAACTGTGGATGATAACTCATTAAAGGTAGGAACAGGAGGGGGGCTGTGGAGGCTTAACCTCATAGTCCCAGAAAAACTACACCTAGAAGTTAACACAGGGAGAAAGGGCTGCTAAGTCAGGTCCCATTCTGTCTACACACACACACACACACACACACACACACACCCTCAGGTCCCATTCGGTCTACACACACACACACCCCCTTAACAGCGAAGTCAGGTCCCATTCTGTCTACACACACACACACACACACACACACACCCTCAGGTCCCATTCGGTCTACACACACACACACCCCCTTAACAGCGAAGTCAGGTCCCATTCTGTCTACACACACACACACACACACACACACACCCTCAGGTCCCATTCGGTCTACACACACACACACACACACCCTCAGCTCCCATTCGTTCTACACAAACACACACACACACACGCCCTTAACAGTCAACTTCCTGCCCCCACAACCAGGGGGACAGGGCCCAGGTCCCCAGGTCCCCTTCTGTCTACACACACACACACACACACACACACCCTCAGGTCCCATTCTGTCTACACACACACACACACACACACACACACATTCTGTCTACACACACACACACACACACACACACACACACACACCCTTAACAGTCAACTTCCTGCCCCCACAGCCAGGGGGATAGGGCCCAGATTGGGTCTGGCAACTTCCTGGGCCTGCAGGGCTGCTTGCTATAAACCGAGCAGGGGCTTCTCTCAGCTGGCTCAACCTTCAGGAAGACACTTAGCTTTGCCATGGATGGAATGTAGTCGAGGGCCTTGAGGATGGGCGAGATTGCCGGCCCTGAGCCGCAGACAGGAGCTGCTCAGCGCCTGGTCCCCTGGCTCAGGACAGGCCAGCCCCATCCTGTGGACTCCAGTTCCTCCATCCACCCCAGAGCCCCAAGCAGCCGAAACAGCGGGTCACCCAGACACACCAGCCTCCGGCATAACCATCCACACTCGGGTCCCCGAATGCACGCTTGCAACCACTGAACTCAGACAGGGCCAGAGCACCTCGGATGGAGGTGCAAGGTAACACACAGCCCGGAAAGATACAGAAAGGGGGTGGGGGAGAAATCCAGTCTTAACCACACAGATATGACACACAGCTACCCAGAGCCTGAACATGCTCACTCACTGTGACACAGGGACACAAGCACGCAAAAGGCAGACACATCTACAGGCAGAACTCCCATCTCACACCTCTGCAATGGCTCACACAGGATCATACAGACAGGGTCCCCAGACACAGGTTGCAGCGTCACACGCCGATCAAAGCCAGAGTCACGCACACACCACACACACGCGCGCACGCACGCAGCCAGGCGCACAGGACGAGGGCCTAGCCATGCCACAGGGGATCAGGATCCGGGTGCACTCGGGGTCCCCTTGCTCTGGTCCGGCCGGGGCTCACCTCGCTGTTGCTGGCCGAGGAGGAGGCGGCACTGGGCGTGGGCGAGCGCTGCAGGGTCACCAGGGCCATCGCGGAGCGCGGGCGCCGCCCAGGCCTCCAGCTACAGCCGCCGCCGCCGCCGGGCCGGTCCTGGAGCCGCGCG